TGCACGCTGGATCCATCCTGGTAGTGGCAGAGTCTACAATCTTGAATTCAATCCTCCCAAAGATGTTGTAAGTGTTAAGTTGTAAGATGTAAAGCTAAAGATGTAAAGATGTGTGAGTTGTGATTGTATTTATCTAACGCACCTGGAACCCATTCTTTCCCTACTTCAAGCAGAGGTTCTGGAATTATAATATGCATATTGTAGTGCATTGAAATAGTTTGGAACACGAGTGAAATCAAGAAGTGGATTCTTGAATGGTTGAAATGCAACAGAGTCATTATAAGAGCATGATGTTTTTTCATTACTGACTTTTGATATGCTTATCATAGGATGCTACCGGTGCAATTTGTTAAAGTATTTTTAAAACAATTCCAAAACTACTTGCTAGTATAATTCACAGGTCGAATCAGCTTAATAAATGGTTAGTCAAAACTGTTAAGAGAACGCTTAGGTTTCAGTGTCCCTCATACTGTGGGCCAAATTCTGTCCTCTGGTATATACAAAAATGACTTTAACGAGTACTGCATGTGTGTAAGTGAGGGCAAAACTTGGCCCCATATCATGTAGGATTAAGTTCTACTGACTTCTACTTGTTAGCACTAAAGTCTTCTCAAGCTACTGCTGTTTTAAATCACTCAACCTCACTATTAAAAGATGTAAAGTGTCTCCAAAAGAAATTGAAAGTGCCAGGTGAGTTTCAAGTAAAAACCTGCTGTTTAGGCCCATGTTCTGTTTGGTCATTCCTGCAACTGTTCTGCTCTGTTGGTTTTTATGCTGTCTGCTGTACACTAGTCATTGTAACATCTCTTCCATATTCTAACTTCCAACCATATGGCCATGCTGCTCTTCACCTTTTACAATCTGTTCTCAGAGACCATAAATCATATCTGCCTTTTAGTTCTGCCAGTTGTCCATGACGTTATTGAAATGATTCTAGACATCCATTCTGCTCCACCATACATCAAGGGTCACTATGCATAGGTTCCTGTGTGTAGTACATGTGACTTCACTGACTTGTGCTCCTCTACTACAATCTGAAAAACCACAGCTACTCCATGCACCTGGTGTTTGAGGAAGTATGTTTTGGAAACTGCTGAAAGTAAACATCTCACCAGATAAAATATGGATGGTAGCTTGTTCTCTAGTTTAGCTGAGAGCTGTTTTTTCTTTGACTAACTAGAAATTGGTACTAACAGACTAACACAAAGTCCACTTAAACAGAAATATAAAGCCATTTTGCTCTTAACCACAATTAGGGCCTTGATGATATTACCAGAGAGCCACTTGTTCAGCGTGATGATGATAAGCCAGAGACTGTTACCAAGAGACTGAAGGCTTATGAGGCACAGACAAAGCCTGTTCTGGACTATTACCGGTAAGTAGTAAATAAACAAAAATACTTCTCTCCACATTAGGATGAACAGGAACAACCTGTTTTTCTCTTAAAAATGCACAAATACCATATTGGTGAATAATTACTGAGCATTTAAGTCACTTTCTCTCTCAACTTGTTACACAATAACAGTAAATGAATAATGACGTGTTATATTATGGGTAGATTCCCCCTTGCTATTTACTTGATTAAAACCTCTTTTCCAATAGTACTTCAGGAACTAAAAGGTACAGTCAGGTATAGCACCTTTTACTACAGTCATAGGAAGCTTTACAGTAACAATCAAAATGATCAACACTTCAAAAGCAAGGGCAAGTTCCACAACTGTGGAGCTCTGTTTTCAGTAGGTATTTCCTTCCTGGAATTTTCATTGTATCAAATGTCTGCCAATCTTTTATTTATTTATTTTTACCTCACTGGCTGGCCAAGGACTTAGGGTATTAAAAGTTGTTAGGGAATAAAGGGCTAAAAATCAGTAAGTGACATGAAAGTGGGTAGAAAAATTTGTGAATTAATACAAAATTTGAGTCATACTTTAAAAACAAGAGTGTGTATGAATATGGTATGCTGCATTGCAGGGGGAAAATGGGGAGAGAAAAGTAGTCAAGCCTTGGAATAGTTGATGGGTCTTCCCAAATCTGTCTCTTTAAGCAAAGGTGCTCTAGTTAATGTGCAGATATTTGATGAATACTATTGGGGTGGTAATGGATGTAGATGTTTATAGACATTTATCCAAATACTAAATTGACCATTTGTCACTCAGCAATAGTCCAACGCCTTCCAGTAATTTCCCTGCATGTGTTGGACCGGGAGGGAGGGATAGCTCAGTGGTTTGAGCATTGGCCTGCTAAACCCAGGGTTGTGAGTTCAATCCTTGAGGGGGCCACTTAGGATCTGGAGCAAAATCAGTACTTGGTCCTGCTAGGGAAGGCAGGGGGCTGGACTCGCTGACCTTTCAAGGTCCCTTCCAGTTCTAGGAGATAGGACATCTCCATTTAAAAAAAAAAAAGTGTTTTCTCTGGAGAGACAAGGTTGAAGAGAGGGTACTTTAGGTAAGCAATGGTTTTACTGACTTCAGTGGACTTCCTTGAGGGCACATGTGTATTTTAGGATCAGGGCCTATTTTATCATCAAGTCATAGTACAATGACAATGTACTCTATGTAAAAATGCCATTGACAGAACATCTATGTGGCAACTAAACAGTCATTCCCAAGGCAAATTCTAGTTACATCTTTACTCTGTTTACATGGAATAACCTTTAAAATTTAGTGTTTTTGCCCACCTGGCTGTATATAACAATAAAATAGATTGTATTAGTATTTGATAGCCCTAAATCAAGGCTTTTAGAGGCAATGTCATTTTATGTTCAGCAATGATTATGTAGTACCTGCTTACCTTAGGACTGACCCTTCATTCTTCATTAGCCCACGAAAGCTTATGCTCCAATTTGTTAGTCTCTAAGGTGCCACAAGTACTCCTGTTCTTTTTGCGGATACAGACTAACACGGCTGTACTCTGAAACCTTCATTCTTTGTTTCCATTTTCTTCATAGTTCAGTAGTGACTACCTCGGAGTGCTTTTTGTCCTTTGGAATAGACCAGATCTGATATGGTCACTAACTTCATGTCTCCCTTCCATGTATACCACTCCAGACATACCTTTTGACATACCTAATTTCTTCTTTTAGAAAAGAAAAGGTTGCTCTTGGGGCTGAACTCTTACATGTCAACAATGTTGCCAATATTCCTACACCAGGACAACCTTTGAAATATCTTTCAACTCTGAAGTGGAGATGCTGATAGAATGGATAAAACTGATTTGTCTACACTTGTTCTTTTGTCTCCCCTTTAGGAATAAAGGTGTACTGGAATCTTTCTCTGGAACAGAAACCAATAAGATCTGGCCAATGGTGCATGCTTTCCTCCAAACCAAATTACCAGAAGTGAGCCAGGAGGAAGCTGCCCCACACAGATGAAGTTGGATCTTTATTGATAAGCACAACTACTGGCTGTCTCCATTTTCAGAGTGATTCTGTCCAGAATGTTAGAAACTTGCAAAAATCATGGTTTTGTTTTACATGTCAAACGGATCAGTAGCTAAGACCTAATCTCAAACAGTCACCCCATAGCTTTTCAACTTTGTGCATTCCGATTTTTCACTTCTCTATACTCATTTTAAAGCTGTATTTTTATAGTAAATTTACCTAATTCTTGTAAAATAGTGACCAATTGTAATAAAAGCAACTGAAGTTTCATGTCTGTGCATTTGGCAAAAAAGTCAGTGTCCTTTTTCTGAAACGCTTATGTGGATTTTTAGAAAAATGAATTTGAGTAAAGGCACAAGCATTTCTTTATCAAGATGATGCATTAGGCAAGATGGCTTATAAAAACCATAGTAGAAGTGTTCAATTCACATTACAAGTGTCACAACCGCTCATGCTTACCAAGCACCTTTCAGCAAATGTAGAACAATGCCTTTATACTGTACTTACTATACTGTGGATACCAAAGTCATGTAGTGAAAGTGATGTATCTGGAGGCTGAGGAAGGAAAACAGTGGTAACTTTCACACTGAGAGCTGGTTACAGTTCAAACTCCTGTACTTGTTCCTAGGATTAGGTTGTCTTGATAGCCCCACTCTTCCAAACTGGATCATTGTCACAAGATAAATCACAAATAGAAAAAATCTGAAGATCCTAGTATCAGTGGTGTTACCAGTAACAGTAACCCAATGCACCATTCTGCCCCCCTGGAATTAATTTAACAGGCAATGGAAAACTGAAACTTTGCTTATGATCATGGTAAGGATTTTGTTCCTCACCTGGTGAGCTTTCACAAAATGGCTTAGGCAAATGGTGACCAGTCACTTTGAACAGTGCAGAAAATTCATCTGGAAAACTTAATCCAAAAACCTATTCAATGAAAGGGAAAATAGCTTGACAGCTATAAGAGATTTAGGCATACGAGTGCAGAGCATACCAGACTTAATATTCAAAGCCATGAATTTGAAATGTGAGGTCAAGAAAAAGGCCAAGGTAACTCTGGCTACATTCCTAGCCCACAAGGAGATCATTCTCTATAAGGATCTGTTCCCCCTATTAGCAGAGTGATACAGTGAGAGTTCAGAAGAGCTACTGAATTACAAGGGAAGAAAGTAGGGCCAGATCTACAAAGGCACATTGGCTCCTGACTTCCACTGAAGTCAATGGAAATTAAGAGTACCAGTGCCTTTCTGGGGCTGGCCCTAGATATTACGTCTAGTTGGAATACTCCAGCAGTAGCAGCATGTAGATCTAATTGCCTGAAGGAAGACTAATCATTTGGGCTTGTACTCCTAGGAGTAATGGAATGTAATTCAGAAGAGTCAAGTTTAGAATGAAAAATTTGCTTCTGAGATCAACGAGGCTATAGCTTGGCCTCTTAACATAAGAGGCCATCCTTACTTGAGATGCTTGATTAGAAAAAGCATACTAAAAACTAGAAAGCATACTAAAGAAAATGGATTAGATATCTTATTTTCATGAATACAGTGAATCCTGAACATTGACACTATACAATAGTCAATGAGGGGCTCTGGTCATCTTAAATTTCAGTCGCACACAGCACTACAATAAAACGATTTATTACAGAAAATTAAATCTCGTTTCCAAACCAGTGGGGGAGAATCTTGCCACAAGAGTATTCAAGCTTCTTTGATTAAACATGTTAGCTATGTTTTGTCAAGCTATCTTGAAGCCTTTATTTATCCACATTTAAAGTTACAAAACTGACCTTTTTGCTATTTCACTCCACTAAGTTACAACATGAACAAAATTCTGACTACCTAGTTGCACCTAGAAGAGTCCCACTGGAAACAAAACCACATTTGGTGTGGTAGAGTAACTTTAATCCTCAATGAATGAGGTTATAGAGCAGAGATTAAAACAGTAGGGTAATAGTCTCTCCCATAAAATTAATAGAGATGAGTACATTGCATATTTTGGTGGTAAGGAACCAGCCTCATTACCATTCCACACTGGACTTCGATGGCTGAGGTCAACAGCCCTCTGAAAGCTTGGCTCTTTCAAATACCAAGCAGTCCAGATTTTTGTAGCTACTGCTAGTCTTTACAAGGAACTCATACCCATTTTTTTCAGCTTTACAGACTCTGCTGATTTCATTTCCCTCAATCCCACTTCTTCAGAAACTGGTCAGCAAGATCTAGGTACAGAAATCAATGTAATCATCACATCCAGATAGTTAAACTTTATGGACCTGGTATAACTGGCAGCAGAGCATGCTGCTGAGGGCATCACTCCTCTATGGTATTGATCCAACAAACAGGTCATCAACTAGTAGTGCCAGCATAGTTAAAATACTTTACAGTAGGGTTTTTACTCCAAAGTATTAACACCACCAGTACTGACACATTCCAAGAAAAGCATCTGAGGAATTTGGAAAGATTTTCATTTGTTGTAAGTGTAAGGCTATTGAGGTAGATACTGTTCAGTTTGGGTCCTTTTCTAAACAAACAAAAAAAAGGATGACACAAAAATTTTGCAGACACCAGCCTTTATGTCCTTGGAGACACCTCTAGACATACACATATTCCTTGGAGACTTTGGACAGTTGCCTTAGCATTCCCATACAAAACCTGGATTTGTTCTATACTTCCATTTGACACCAGCATTACTGGGGTTTCTGGACCATTTCCAGACAAAAAGCAACAGCTCTCCCCACCTTTGCACTAGCCTAAATACAAGTTTCTTCACTTTCCATAAGAACAGGATATTGGCTGCTCTTTCTCAGATGGTCCTGAGGTTTTTATCAGAAGTGTGTTCTGTCCTTCACATGCCTGCAACAACCTCAGGGCTTAGATACCAGAGCAACAGGCACCTGCAGATGGAACTGTGTTTAGGAGATGAATTAGTGCATAGCTAGGTCACTTCTCATACTGTGTGGTCATTCTGAGGGGGAAGTTAGTGATAAGAGAAATTACATGCCCTTTTGCAATCTTTCCCTCACTGTATTCCACTGACACTACACAGCTACAACAGGTTTTTACAGTATTGGAGAATATACTCTTATGTTCTCTGCAGCTTTTAGCTAGAGCCCACTCAGAGCTGTTATCTTCTCTCAGTAAGGGACTGCTAGAGGGATCACAAGTGTTTAGCCTGGTGTACTGGGAACCTAAAATTAGAATGTGCCACTAAAGTTTCTGTATCTCAACCATATCAGAAACACAGATCAGCCCCCTCATGCTAGTAGCTGACAGACATTTCAATGAAGTTCCAGCAAATGTTTTTGAAGCTTGACTGTTCTCACCCCTAAATTCCCATCCATAAGGCTTCTGTAGTACTTAAGAGCATTTCTTCTTTTATGGTTCTCTATAACCAAGCATGTGACTAGCCTGCTCCTCACAGAACATGGAGAGAAAGGCCCAGATTATGCTGGCCACCGGGGGAGGAGAGGGGGACCAGAGAAGAAGTGGTTGCAGTTCCGTTTCTGGCACTAGTTCTGTGCCAACACTGGCCCTTGCATGCCTTAGAATAGACTAGGGGCCACTCCAAGGTACAACTACTGCCTGTGGCCATCCACCAGCAAAGAAAAGCCAAATCACAGTAGTTCTTCAAACTTGCTCCCTTCACTCTGCACTCGCCTACAGAGGGATTGCAGAGGAAGCTGACCAGCAATGCTAGTTCTGCACCAGCCTGGGTATTCTGTAGGCTGAGGAAATCTGGCTGCTTTCCAGCCACTTAAGCAATGCAAAGGGGTTAGTAAGCAGTAGAGAATGTGACTCAAGTATATACAAACTAATACTTTGCTGCTTCGCTGTAAAATGAGAAAATATCTAGGCATTTCTACTTTGGTATCAGGGAGGGTCAGTCCTACACTGAAACAGCCCAGATACATAGAGGCTGTGTACACAGGTGAAAAAACTATTGAACACAATTAGGAAAGCTTAATAGCAGTTTTGGATTGCAAAGACCATTATGGCAAAATTCTGGAAATATTAAAGAGTTTGACCTTTGCAGAGCTCTAAAGCAGAGGGCTCTTAAGATACCACCTTATATATTGTTACTCTCAGCAGTTAACCACTTGGCATCAATCATTCAGCTGATATTGAAACAGAACTCTTTTCCTTTTAAACTGAGGAAAGCCTGAAATACCATAACAAATCTGAATTATAAATCAATACTATTCAGTCAGTCTTTGGCACTCAGGCTTTCTTCGTTACTGGTATGAAGGAGAGAGCCTGGCTGCAGTACAATCTTATCCTGAAGTTGTTTCCCCCACCCTCAATCTCCCACACCCAAAATATTTATTCACACTGGATCTTTGTAATGCAACTGTAATATTTTAAGTTAACACTAAATGTTAGACAGAAGAATCAGCTTCTTAGTGACCATGCTGCTAGAAATGTGGCTCAAAACCCACTAAGCAATTATACATTTTGTCTCTAAAATGTACATAACTTGACAATCAGAAATAAGTCCTTTGTCTGAAAGCATAAAGTAACATTTTAATCCCTGTAGTAGAGGGGAAAAAAAAACCCCACTGCTTTAATCTGAGCCTCCAAGTTGATATCAGCTTTTGATTTATTGCTATTAATATGATAAAATTGGATTTGAGTGCTTACTATGTCAGCAGTATAGCATGAGTACAATTGTGATCTTTAGTATTTATAGAGCAAGACACGTCCATGTCCATAATAAAAGATTATAGCAGATTCCAACTAGAATCAACCATTTCTCGTAAACATTGTATTTGTGCAGATTTGTTTGTCATACTTTGATTCCTAAAATTAAGAATAAAGGTAAGTTTAAGTAGCAGAAACAACATCCAGTTTCACATTCGGTAACATATGAGAACACCTCTCCTAAAAGGGAACCAAAAATCTAGCAGCACATTTTCAAACAAAATGACAAATGTGTTTCTGGATTACCCTCCTTCCAAAAAACAAACGCAAAAAATAAAGTGCAGCACCCAGAAAAGTAAGTGTCAAGAAAAGAGCCACATTCTTTTCTTTGTAATAAAAGTACTTGGCCTCAGTCTTAACAGTACTATATTGTGTCCATCATTTTGGGTTCCTCATCATCTCGGTGTACCAATGAGTTTAAATTAAAGAGACCTGTGTTTACGCAGCTTTGAAGAGAGTCTGCAGTCTGCAACAGGAGAAAACAACATTAATTCTACACAAGTAAATACTGAGATTCTAATTTTGCACCTTGTGCTTTCACGGTTAGTTGCCTAGCTCCCTTTAATTGTCTGCATCTCACACTCAAGAGGCAAGTTTCAATGTAATGCATAAGGATTTGCCTGTGACTAATAGGAATGGTAATTTAGCTTATTAAAAATGTATCCCCTTGAAATTTAGGAAATCTTATGACTGTACTAAGCTTTTATTCATCTTGTATGGAAAGAGAGCCTAAAGAGAAATATACATACAGTAACTCCTCACTTAAAATCATCCCGGTTAACATGGTTTCATTGTTACATTGCTGATCAATTAGAGAACATGCGCATTTAAAGTTGCGCAATGCTCCCTTATAATGTTGTTTGGCAGCCGCCTGCTTTGTCAACTGCTTGCAGAAAGAGCAGCCCTTCGGAGCTAGCTGGTGGGGGGTTGGAACTAGGGTGGACGGCAGCCCCCCCCATCAGCTCCCTGCTCCCCCTAAGTTCCCTGTGCGGCAGCCGCCCAGCAGGCTATCAATTGCCGGGCAGTTCAGCTGTCCCTCCCCACACTGTGGTGTGCTGCTCCTGCCCTCTGCCTTGGAGCTGCTCCCAGGAGCCTCCTGCTTGCTGTGTCGGGGAGGAGTGGGGGGCGCTGTCAGGGTGTCCCCCTCCCCCACTTCTGCCCCCCATCTCCACAGAGCAGTGGGGACACAACAGGGCTCAGGATGACAAGACTCGGGATGAGGGAGGGAGCTTGCTGGCAGCAGCTGCTGTCTCAACTTGCTGATCTACTTAAAAAGGCAGTGTACTTAGAGTGGGGTCAGCGTATTTAAAGGACAATGTGTCTCTCTCTCACACAGTGTGTGTCTCTGCCATGCTGTCTCCCCTCCCACCATTCCTGCTGCCTTGTAGAGTGTGAGGCTACATTAACAACGTGTGAACCCTTGAGGGCTCAGCCGAGCGCTAGTTCATCATTTAGCTGTAAGGCATTCCCTGGGAAATATCCCACCCTCTGACTCCACCACCTCAATCAAGCTTCACAATCATCATTGCCGTGTACAGTATTAAATTGTTTGTTTACAACTTATACGGGTGTGTGTGTGATGTCTATATATATACACACGAGAGAGAGAGAGAGAGTGAGAGTGTCTTGTCTGGCGAAAAATATTTCCCTGGAACCTAACACCCTCCATTTACATTAATTCTTATGGGGAAATTAGATTTGCTTAAAGTAGCATTTTTCAGGAACATAACTACAGCATTAAGCGAGGAACTACTGTAATCCTATTCTAAGTTACCTCAGATGCAGGTGAACCTGTGTAAATAAATATCTTGATCAAAAGGATGTCTTAATTTTGACCCCATTCAACTATCCAAGTGGGGAAAAACCCTTCGGTTTCTTTTATGTCTGTGAGACCACCATTACTAACATTTAAATCATGTTTTGTAATCCAAAACCACCTACACTGAAACCTCAGTGTTTTATTAAAGGTATTTTGCAATTCCCATTCTCTTATCACAGGCTGCATTTTTCTTAGGTTTGATTACTTGTAGGTTTCCATTACTGAGAACATTATGCTCATTTTTACTGGAAACTCATTTTCACCTCCTATAATATAAAATTCAAAATTTAATTATAGAATCAGTTTTATAATAAGTGTTTGCTCCAGCATACTTGCGGCAGATAAAATTACTTGCGAGTAGGTTAAGTATATGAATATTTAATGCATTAGGGTTGAATTATCAGGTTGTAAAGTGCATTTGGATTTGTACTTGGATGCTATTTGGGGTCTAGGACACAAAAAGGTAGCTTTTTCAGTATCTATGTGGAGGGCAAATAGTTTATGTACAGAATATTTAACTTTAGTCCCAGCTAGTACCTTACTCCATAAGTAGTCCTATTTTAAATCAAAAGGTACTACACCTCTACCCCGATATAACGCGACTCGATATAACATGAATTCGGATATAATGCGGTAAAGCAGTGCTCCGGGTGGTGGAGGGGAGGGGCTGTGCACTCCAGCGGATCAAAGCAAGTTTGATATAACGCGGTTTCACCTATAATGCAGTAAGATTTTTTGGCTCCTGAGGACAGCGTTATATCGGGGTAGAGGTGTACTTCACATGAGCAAAGATGGCAGACTCTGGCCCTAAAACAATTACATGATTTCTATAAATGGATTTATTAAAAACCTACCTGTGGCAAAAACTCCAACACGCCTAAGGAACTGAGACCAGTATGAGCAATGGGATTCTGAACTGACATAGCCTGAAAACTTTGTGATTGTGAAGAGATTTTCACTCTTGATTTAAATGCTTCGAGTTCATTTTTAAAAGCCTCAAAATAACCTTCTTCTTCTGCCTGTAGAAAGAAAAGGTTGTCAATTAAGTATTGCCCTAAACTCAAAACTATAAGTAAAACTTTGGCTATATAAGTATATACATTACTGGGGGGGAAAAAGCTACACAATGAAGCACAGAAAAGGGAAAACAACAACACCCTAAACTTTAGATGAAAGTCTTGGGGAGAAACCAGTAGCAGCTTTATGAAAAATCAGCTAGGTTTCTTGATTTTTTTTGAAGTGTGTTCTTAATATTTTTGGCTGGGATAATGATAAAAGGCTATTTTCTTGCATCTGAGGAGCGGTGAATAGATCCTAATTTTAAGCCATTCCTCATCCCATCCTAGAAGCTGAAAGGAGAGGGGATACTCAGTACTGGACTTTTCAGAAGCAAGTCAACACTAGTTAAAGCCGGGGCCCCCATTAATTGACAAGGCACTCTCCCTCCCAAGTGAATCTGCCAGTATGAACAGTCAGACTAAGTACTTTAAATTTTCACAGCAGTGCACAAATTCAGCCCCTATGAGCACTTTAAAGACATCCTTTGATTTGCAGCAATCCAGCCAGGAACAGTACAAACTGCAGAAGTGGGTACAGAGGTGCACTGCAGTGATACAAAAATGCTGTTAAGTGGAAGGCTGTGACAAACACTGACCCAAGTCAGGGTAAACAATGGAGGCCTTGATAACAAGCTAACAGTGACACCAAGTCCTTAAATATGCTTTTTTATTAGTTGTGACTTAGAAATCACTTTGCCTGCTTAGCATCTCTAACTCCTGTTTACAATTAAATCTTGACAACATCAGCTTAGATGGGCTTTTTTGCTAGCGTGTACAATTTAAAACTTACTCAGACAAAAGTGGATTTTGCAGTTAAACTTCACTGATTTCAAATTTATGATGAAATGTGGAGTTCTTGAATTCTTACAATAACATTAGGGTGTGTTCCCCAACATCAATTCGTATTTCAAGAACTCCATCTTTCATTAGTATTCTAGAACACAATTTAATATCTGTGAAGCACTTTGGAGCTGTGAACTGCACACACTGTTCAGCAAAAATACTTTTAACTATGATTAAGCAGTTCTGTACTAAGTTCTAATTAAATGTATTACAAATTAATTTTGAACTACTGTGATGGAGTAGTTGCTGGACCAGATGCTAGTTTATTCAACTGGGACCAGAGTTTCTGAAGAAAGTTGCTGACCACACTGCTCATGCAATTCTTCTGGAATAGCATTTTTAGTTGGGAGCGTGGTGATGGTGGCAAATGGGGACTGCAATGGATAGGTCCTGTGGAATGCCCTCTCTTTGCCCCCATCCCAAGATTTTAAAATGCCTTCTAGTCATAGCTCTCTGGAGCCTGATACTGTTGCTCCTGGATGGCTATACTGGGTCATTACAGAGGCATAAAAATGTGCCCTTTCCTTAAGAAGGCGCATGAAGGCTCCATGGCACACCATGAGCCCAGCTGCTTGAGAAGCTAATCTAGTCCTGAAGCCTATCTCCCTGGTTAAGCAGTGCAATGGAGACACCTCCTGTCCAGTGTCTATATCTTCTTCTACAGTTAGTTTTTAGAGTACAAAATATTGATTCTGCAGGAACTCTACTCTTTCAGAGAGTACGGGACTAGAGGAAATGGGAGAGAGTTTTCAACATTCTATATTACTCGTGCATGAAAGAATGTAACATTTATTGTATGATTATAAATGAAGTACACATTGATTTTACGTTCTGTTCCCCTTTTAGACACGCCTACCAGCACAACAAAATTCACAGAGCTTCCATCCTCATGGTTACACTGACCATTATTGCACAAAAGGCTGCCAACAACTCAACCTTTCCCCTAGAGCCTGGGGCTATTCCCTTAGCACATATTTAGCTTGCAGCTGTCAGGAAGAAATCTCAGCTGCTCTTGAACACTGATCCCTCTCAGATGCTGCAAGAGCTTCTCTAGCATTAAAATGAAATCACGACTTACTTTTGCTCTTTGGAAAAATAGACGAAAACAGCCTCTGGGATCCACATTACAACTTTTAGCCATTTCTATAATAAACTGCATAACAACTGCTTGGTGTGCTACTTGTTCCATCAGAGCTCTTTTCTGGAAACAGAAGTTACAAAGTTACATTTTTAGAGAGACTGTAAGCATGTAACTAAGATTTCAAATGTGTTTTACTTTCATGACCACCAGTTCTCATGATCTTACAAGATCAAACTGAAAGTGGAGATGCGCGTGGGGGAGTGGGGGGGGGGGAGGAGGAAGAGAGAAGAGACAGCACTACTGAAGAACAGACATAATGCAAGGTATTATCGAGGTTCCCTCCAGTAAGATAACTGGAAACATGGGGGGGGGGGAAGAGAGGAGGAAATAGATAAATCGTTTAATGTGATCTATGTGGATAGTTTTCTGTAGCATTAGCAGGAAAAATGTGTACCATCTCCCAGATTCAAAGCAATTTAAGATTTGCCTAATACCTGTTCTGCTTCTAGGTGAAAACACCATAAGAGGAGATATTTAGCTGTATCTTCACATACAAGGTATGGATGGTCAGACAAAAATCTCTGGCTATCATCCCATCTGCTTAGCATGCCTGGTGAAAAGGAATTAGAAAGTCAAGTGTTACCATAAAAGTACATTGCTTATGGTATTTGAATGGCAATGGAAACCAAATAGTTATTACCTGACCCCATATGATATAGAGTTTTAGGCTATGTTTACACTGCAGACCTTATAGCGGCATAGCTGTACTGCTGCAGCTGCACCACTGTAAGGGCTCCCGTATAGCCACTCTCCCGCCAACATAATTAAACCACCCCTGACGAGCAGCAGTAGCTAGGTTGGCGGCATAGTGCTGTCCCCACCGGCGCTTTTATTGGTGAAACTTTTGTTGGTCAGGGTGTGTGTGTGTGTGTGGTTTTTTTTTTTACACCCTGACAAACAAAAGTTTTACTGCCAAAAGTGCCAGTGTAGACATAGCATAATGACAAATTCATTACCACTCAATGAAGACGACTAAGGCTAAGTGAGCTAGTCTCATTCCAACTCCTAATTGACATGTGACCAAAATAATAATTGGCATCTTTTTTGCTAGTTTCAACAGAAAGGCCATGATTAAGAGTCCATTAAAGACTGACACTTTCACTTGTAAATGTGGTCTCTATAAAAGGATTGAGGCTAGATGTTTAGAGAAGCTTGCACTGTGTCTTCTGTATCTCTTCAGTGGCTACAGTACTTCAGCTTCTCAACTACCAACATAGCAAAAAAATGAAGACAGAAAGAACAAAATAAATTTCCTGTATAATGCACATAGTTCAATTAAACTCAACATGATCCAAAGATATGAGACAAAAAGAGGCTCATTAACTGAACTTCTGCAACACTAGAAAACCAGGGCATTCCATGTTATCTAGTGCATCAGTTGTCAAACTACAGGCCTTAGACCACTGGATACCTGTGGAACACTTCTTGGTGGGCTACAGAGAGCTAGCTGGCTAACCATATGTTGCTGGCTATTAAAAATTTCATACGATAAAAAAAAGTTTAAGAACTCCTGATAGAGAGAACTGTGGAAAATATTTCTGGATGTATCTGCATGTTAGATGTCTCCTATACTTAAAAATTAAAAGTGAGTTTAGCATTTAAAATTTCTCATTTATTTAGAACTTTTCTTTAGAACACAAGAGCATCAGTAAAGGAATATTAGGTTTTATGAATTTCTGTCCAAGGCAACTGAGCTACATGGTATGGGATCAATTCTATAACACTACACAGTAGGTAATTTCTCAACTATAAGAGACTAATCCAGATTTGAAGTCAGAAGTGGAAAAAGGTACTATTAGACAAAGTAATTAATCTACCTCTGATTTATAGATAGGATGTTAAAATGCAGAGACCAAATACAAACAGACCAAAGTGTAAAATGGTATAAACCAGGAGGAGAAATCATCAAGTTGTATTGCTTGCGACTGTCCTAAACAAAGTGGAAAAGCTATATTAAAAACCTTTAAAACCAAAACCACAAGTGAAGTCAGAATACTAAAAAAAAAAAGTTTAGAGAATTCTCATTAAGTCCGCAAAGTTTTATATATTTACCTTATTTCATTCACAATATTAAGAAATTATGAGATTACAAAACAATTAAGTATTTGAGTCCTAGCAGAGGTCAGTCTAAACACAGATTTGATACTTTACATTCCACCCAGAAAGCCAGTAAGAGATATTTCTGCTAAAATGATTAGTGGGGGAACAGTTAACATTGTTCCTTGTGTGGTCATCCTTGGACTTCAAAGTTATTTCAGTGACATGGAGGCAGGTCAATCACTTCTGTCGGCATATACTGAGACAGCCTCATGCATCACTTCACATTTGCAAGGTTTGTTTTGAAATTAAGAGGACTAGAAACCATTTTTGTTTTTAAAAATATACCATCACAAAGAAAAGCCAGTATGGCATACCAAGTGCCAACTCAACCCCATCCCTGGTTGGATGGGATGATTTCCAACAGGTAATACAACAGCCCCAATACAGCTATGCCCCTACACATACAGGAGCCAATCAATGACTCAGAACAATGGGACACATTCAAGATATTCATCAAAATTTCAGAACACTACATGACAAAGGGCATTTGCGTGGAATGGTTTTGATCACATTTCAACTATAGAGTTAAAGTGACACCTAGTGGATAGTCTGATATACTTGGATAAACTACTCTACACCTGGGTTACTATTAATAGATGGTTATTTGACTAAAAAGTTATTTTCAGTAGTAAATCCATCATATGTATTAAAACTATTCCTCTTGTGGCTTACATGGCAAAGATGTGTATTAAATACTTAACACCTTTACACACAGGACTTGAAAAATCCATTTAATGCCCAGTAAATAGCGTTCGCTCTGAAGCACGTGTACATGGAGACGGTCTGGCAGTAAGGAGGTTTGAGAAATACTAATAAATTTCCGCAGAATTTAAGCTGATGCAGCTCTTTCTGATTCTGCAAATAAGGCCATCATTGCTAATGCTGCTTATCTCTTTCCCCAAGCAGCAAACAAGGCAGGCAAACTACGGCCCACGGGCCGGATCCGGCCTCTCAGGGCTTTGGATCCAGCCTCTCAGGGCTTTGGATCCAGCCTCTCAGGGCTTTGGATCCAGCCTCTCAGGGCTTTGGATCCAGCCTCTCAGGGCTTTGGATCCAGCCGGATCGCCCCCCGTGGTGCCACGGGCCCCGCGCCACTCTCAGCAGCGGCCAGCCCAACATCCCTGCAGCCCCGGGGCCCTTGCCTCCAGGAACCACCCCCGCAGCTCCCATTGGCTGGGAACGGGGAACCACGGCCAATGGGAGCTTTGGGGGAGGTACCTGGAGGTGCAGCAAGGGAAACGCAAGCAGAGCCCTCTGCCCCCTTCTTCCCCAGGGGCCCAGCGCTTCCTGGTGTGGCGCGGGGCCGGGGACAGGGCAGGCATGCAGGGAGTCCCCTCATACACCCCGCACCCCTCCTGCACCCCAACCTCCTGCTTTGAGCCCCCTCCCGCAGTTCACACCCCTCCTGCACCCTAACCCCCTGCCCTCAGGCTCCTCATACACCCTGCACTCCTCCTCTGCCCCAATCCCTTGCCCTGAGCCCCTTCCTGCACACCACACCCCCTCCCACACGCCAACCCCCTGCCCTGCATACAATTTCTCCACCCAGATGTGGCCCTTGGTCCAAAAAGTTTGCTCATCCCTGCACTAGAGCTAGTCACAGAAAGGATTCTAAAAGAGGTTAGGAGGAGCATAACAGAACCTCTGATGCCCCAGCTGCAACGAAGTAGTTTTACTGTGGAAGAGAAATCATCTTCCGTCCAAGCAGTGGTGCTCCTTCCATCTTTTGTTTGTTTACAACTAAAGCTTAGTGCTCTCAACAGTATTTTTTAAAAAGTCTTTTTCCCCCAAAGCCGAAATTTTCTTGGACCTGTAGGTGCTTTGTGTTCAACCAGCAAACACAGCTGAAGTCTACAAGAGATTCTAATATCTGAACTAAAATATTAGAATTTAGCTACTTAGCTGCCATTTCTATGGAAGGATATGGAAGGATACACTTTTGATAAGCATTGAGGAAAAAAATGCTTCCCTTTAAAAGAAACACACTTCAGAATTTACAATATCACTGTTCTAGTATCACTTTTCATGAAGTGTCAGATAAAGTAGACAGAAACCTCTCTTTCGCTAGGACTTCAGTTATGCTGAGCGCTAAAATAGTGTTTATCTAAAAAGCATTATTGACTGTAGGATTCAATAAACTTCTGCAGCATGCAGCCTCTTACTTGGAAAGGACTATTTTGTTATGACTATCAAAGAAAATCCCAAACCCTGATAGACCAGAAACCTGAAGCTGGATTCTGTTAGCCAGATGCTTCATTTCTAAGTGTTCATTTTATAAAACAATAGAACCTATCTAAACACAATGCATAAAGCTAAAACTACAAAAAGCTGGAAAAGAGAGGTACTTACCAAAATGTCTAATTTTTTGTTCATGTTTCTGCATGAATGATTTGGATTTGTCTTCATCTTCTATTTCTTTTCTTTTCTTTTGATTAATAAAACTCTGGGGAGGGGGAAAAGGGAGAGAGCTTAATCACAGAATCCTTTTCCATGCTATTTTAAACTATGTCATTATGGGAACACCATTTTATTGAATTTCCATTTAAAAAGTAATGCTTCTAGTTGTAGGCCCCAAACCTGCAAACATACTGATGCATATACTTAATTTAACATAGATGAGGTGGTGTCTGGGAAACTGGGCTTTTTGACAATTAACCAGGGTTAAAAAACTGACTCCTAACATCTGGTCCTGGATTATTGCTTGGAATAGCATTGTTATATACCAAAGTATTTAACACGGCAGGTAGCAAGGCACTGAGTCTTTAAAACTCGAGAAATGCCTAACTTTTTTCCCCCTTAGTATTTGTAAGTTTAATATCAAAGTATTAATATGAAGAAGGTAGGATTTGATGCTAACTTTATCATTTGGAGACAACTGCTGTTTTGGATCAATGTAATCTAAGATCCCTGCTAGCAGTACAAAAACATTTCTTATGTTTTGATATCAGTGCAGGACCTACTTTTGGGTGGATTTTAATAAAATAAATGAAAGGATACTCATTTAGCACTTAATCTTGTCATATGGACTGTTCTGGATACAAACGATACTCACAATATTCCAGTGACAAGTGCCATATAAATAACTTGATTTACCTAACAGTTCTATCCCTTATTTTTACCTGCTTTTATGCATGTTGATATGGTTCATACCTTATTAAATACATCCTTGCTAACAGAATCTGTGTTCCACAGATTTTGTGTTTCCCTCTGTATTAGCGCCTCTTCTTTCTGTCTCCATTCTTCCTCCCTCTGTCTCAATTCTGAAGCATCAGTCTGTGCTTTGGCATGTTCCTGATCCAGGGACTCAGAGTTATGCAGTGCTAAACTACCAAGTTTCTGCTGGGCTTCTGCTAAATTCCATTTGCATTCCACAGAGCTCTTCACAAACTCCTTTTGTTTTTGGCAAGCCAATTCAATCCCATGGCCATATATCTGTATGGGGGGTGGTGGAGGGAATAAGATTTGTTTATTTGGAAAAATTGAGAGAATTTAGATAGCACATGCAAACAGATAAGGTTAGTTGCAGAACAGAATTATGAGATGGCAAAGTTGTGAAAAATGAGGTTAAATTCTGAACAGTGACTAAAATTGATATTATACAGTTGGATATTTACTTCAATGGTTTCCACATTAAATTAGCTCAGTTTACACATAAAATACATTTTAATAACTCCCAGACTTGCAAACTCAGGGATCATGTATCAGCAGTAACAAAGCTTCTCCAACCAAACTGTAGAAAACAATTTTTATGATGAAGCCTGGGCAAAAATAGGTTCCAACTGGCTCTCTCTTAGCTGGGCTGGTTCTGCAGTGCTAACAATAGCCAAAACACCAAAATTAACTCTAAATACATATAAATCTGTAATAAGAAAGTGGCATTTTTACAGTGTCTGACCATAACTGGAATTTGAGTTAAATTCCAAACAGATTAATATTCTTTGCTTAAAACGCCTTGTGCAAAGGACAGATATGTAGAAAAATAACCTATTTTACTTAGTTCTCACATAAACATAGGAGGGATTTTTAGTAGATATAAACCCCACTTCAGACAGACACCCAGAAAAAAGTGTATGAATTCCTACATAGCAATCTGCAGTTTCTCATGCTTACTTTGGGCTTTGAAACATGGTAGATCTCCTTTCAAGGAAAGGGGACAAGTTGCTGCTTGCTCAAACTTACCCTAGAATCAAAGGTGAAGAGAATGTCTTGAAAGGAATGAGATATATAGTATTCCAAGGAGTTAACTATGCAGCCTCTCTAGGATTTCCAGTCCCTGCTTGTTCCAAACCCAGACTGTTACCTCTCAAAAAGGAGCCTCATATATCTATACATTGACTTTTTCAACAGAACGGTGACTGAATAAGTTTTTAGACAATTCTGCTGCACATACTTCATTTTGTCAGTCACACCCAGCATGCGATGAAGAATGGGAAAAGGCAGCGTGATACTCAAGTGCTGGCCTGGCGACTGCCGACAAACCCGGCGCTAGCTGAGTGACTGGGGGGCACACACTGGCATAAGGGTAGCCGCACGCTACGGCCACCTCTCCCTGTGGGAAACACTGGGCCTCGTTCAGCTCAAACCACGGGTGTCAGCATCACTTCGCTGCAGAGACTTCACACTTGGTTCCCATCAGGGGCTTCACGTCACACTCGCCGCCAACGAGGGCGAACGGGGCAAACCGCAGCCGGAACGGGTCGCCGGGCAGGATCTAACGGGGGATGGGTTACCGAGCGCCGCAGGGCTCGGCTCGGCTCACCTCATGCGGGCGGAGCTGGGGCTGGAGGAGCCGAGCGGGGTCCACGGCTCCACGCTGAGCAGGGAGCAGCTCTGGCAGGGCCGGGCCCGCAGCAGGCCCATGGGGCTTTGCCAGCTCTGCGACCCCCCCGCTGGAAGCGCTGCCCGAGTGCGGGCCAGGCCGAGCGGTTTGGCTTCGTGCTCCTAGGACCGGGCCGGCGGGGCAGCCGGAGTCAGGGCGAGCCCAGCGCGGGGCCCGATCCCGGGAGTGGGGGCAGAACGTACCTGCGGGTCCGGCGGGCGGGGCGCGCAGGGCGGGTCCGGCTCCTGCCCCTCCCCCGCGCGGAGACCCCGGGAGCGCGGCGGCCACAGCGCCATCCCCGCGCAGAGACGCGCGCCACCGGCTCGGCTCGGCCCCTCCGGCCCCCGCCCGGCTCCTCCCCCCACGCAGGCCCGTTACCAGCCTGGCCGGAAATTAGGCCGAGCGTCACTTCCGGAAACAGAGGGAGGGTGGGGCGCTTCTGTGATCTCATGGCGCACATCACCGCCCGCTGCGAGCCACGCGAGGGAGGAGGCTCCTGGGCCGCTCGTGCTGGAGGAGCGCGGGGGCGGGGCCAGGTTTGTTTTTTAAGCCGCGTTGGGAACTGGACTAGAGTGAAGCGAGCCGCCGCGGCGCGAGGCTGAGGAAGCCCTGCGTATGTCTGGGGCTCGCGGGTCTGGAGCCTTTGGAAAAAGGAGGAAATTGCCCAACGAAAACCCCCAATAAGATAAACGTGACTCCGCTTGGTGTCGTTAGAATTCATAGCAAAAGTCCTGTAGACAATCCGATCTCCTCCATCCGTTTGTCTGCCCATTCAGCGGGGATGTGTGTATCTCATCGCTCCCCAATACAGCTTTAGAGTTTGCTTCTAATCATCACTGTCCACAAAATAAACTTGGGATAGTTTGCAGATATCTCCACTAGTGTATCCAGTGCGCACAAACGGGTAACTTTGCAAGGTTATTGTAATCCATCATTAATTACATTATTTTTATTAACACCTTTGTCCTAGCAGAACATATCGATTTAAGCATTTTAATCTGACAGATGGATGTGCCAAAATAATCCTGCATTAAAATAAAGTTATGGCTGCAAAGTCAAATGTTAGGAAATGCCAGAATTAAGATAATGTTTGCAGAGTTGTAGTCATGTTGGTCCCAAGATATTTGAGAGACAAGTGGGGTGAGGTAATATCTTGTATTGGACCAACTTCTGTTGGTCAGAGAGAGAAGCTTTAAAGCTTATACCCAGAAGACCTGAAGAGCTCATCTCTTTCACCACAGAAGTTGGTTCAATAACAGATATAACCTTGCCCACCTTGTCTCTCTAAAATAGTGGCAGTCACATCCCTGAATTGTAGGCCAGAATCATTAAATTCTGGGCTACAGTTTCTTGTTTTTCTAGACTATCATTTTTTGGTAATTTTTTAGGTAAAATCACTTTGTTCTCAGCACTTTGAAAAACATCTTATTCCCCTCTCTTAATTATCCACCCTGTGCACTGAATGAGGGGGGGATTCTGGAAAAAAAATAAGGTGATCGTAATTAAAGACTATATCTTAATGCATACACAAAGGGGTCCAAACTAAAGTTGCACAGGCAGCCTGAATTCTGTCATTTCTTAACTTTTGAAGGCTTGACTTTGCACTCTTAATTTTATTTTAACATAGTTTATTTGTATATCACGGAAGGTGATAGATACAGTTCTACTCGGTGCTGGTTTAGGTTAGGCTTCAGCTGGAGTACTGTGTCCAATTTTGGTCACCAATGTGTAGAATGGATGTGGAGAAACTGGAAAGGATTCAGAGGTGAGCAACATAGATGATAAAAAGGATGGAATGCAAGCCTTGTGAGCAAAGGCTGAAGGAACTGGGTATGTTTGCAAAAAAAGGAGATTAAGAGGGGACATGATAACAGTCCTCAAATACTTGAAAGGCTGTCATAAAAAAGAGAAAAGTTGTTCTCTCTTGCCACAGAGGGCAGGACAAGAGTTAATGGGTTCAAACTATAGCATAGCTTAGGGGTCGGCAACCTTTTAGAAGTGGTCTGCCGAGTCTTCATTTATTCACTCTAAGGTTTTGCATGCCAGTAATACATTTTAACATTTTTAGAAAGACTCTTTCTATAAGTCTATAATATATAACTAAACTATTGTTTATGTAAAGTAAATAAGGTTTTTAAAATGTTTAAGAAGCTTCATTTTAAATTAAATTAAAATGCAGAGCCCCCCAGATCGGTGGCCAGGACCCGGGCAGTGTGAGTGCCACTGAAAATCAGCTCGCGTGCTGCCTTCGGCACATGTGCCATATAGGTTGCCTACCCCTGGCATAGCTGATATAGATTAATGCTCAGAAAAAACTTCCTAACTAAGAGCAGTAGGACAATGAAATACACACTGCCTTGGGAAGTTGTGGAAGCTCTTCCACTTGAGGTTTTCAGAAGGAGGCTGGATAGCCATCTGTCTTGGATGGTATAGACACAACAAATCCTGCATCTTGTTAGGAGGTTAGACTAGATGACCCTTGTGGTCCCTTCTAACCCAGTGGTTCTATGATTCTAGGTATGTTGCCTAGGTTATTAAAAAACAACTGAAAAAACAGAAATTCTGTTATGCAGAACTATATTAACCCCCTATGTTCATCACCAGCAAGATTGTAAACATTGATTAGATCCACAGCACAGATCTCTTGTCACTTGAGCTAACAGAGTAGTTCTGATAGCAGTAGCAGACTTTTATCCTTTATATAGACTAGCCACTTTACGGGAATGAAACACACATTTTGCTAGTGGATTTCACAGCTATTTGCTAGACAAGTGAGGAATAGAGACTAAGGAATCTTGGGTTCTATTTCAGGTTCTGGATGGGAGTGTTCTCTAGTGATTACAGACCCTACTTTCCTTGTGCATCCTGCTCCAACCCCTAGCATGTACCTATACAGCCTGTTTCTTTTCCCCTCTCTGCTTACCCAGTGCCGGCTCCAGGCACCAGCATAGCAAGCAGGTGCTTGGGGCAGCCAATTTAAAGGGGCGGCACTCCGTCCGGTGTAGGGGCGGCACGTCCGGGTCTTCAGCGGAAATTCGGCGGCGGGTCTCTCATTCCCTCTCTTCCTCTTTGAGCTGCCGCCGAACTGCCGCAGAAGAAGCGGCACAGTTGAGCTGCTGCCGAAGTGCCACTGCGCGTTCTTTTTTTTTTTTTTTTTGCCGCTTGAGGCAGCAGAAAAGCTGGAGCCAGCCCTGTATCCACCCCCACTGCCTATTTCTGCTCCTATGACACTACAGTCTGTATCTGCTCCCCACACTGGGCACTATCCACCCCCACAGCTTTCTGCCACTGCATCTTGTCTCTGCTGCCCCCTCTGCCCCATAGCTTGTCTCTAGCGTCCCTATCCCTCTCGAAGGCTTTCTGCCCCACTGTTCCTACCCCTGATTTCCCCCCCCCCATACAGATATATGGCCATGGGATTGAATTGGCTTGCCAAAAACAAAAGGAGTTTGTGAAGAGCTGTTTGTTTATTTAATTTACCAAAGGTAATTGAAGCAGATATTTATGAAGTCATTAGGAGGTGAACTATCTCCAATTCAACAGGTTAATCATTAATATTTGGAGGATTTTCTTGCCATGCTGTATTAGGAGGAGAACATCACCAGACAGACATTTACATTGTTTTATTTAACTAAAACAACAACTTTATGTATTCTGGATTTTTTTTCTTCAACAGCAAACATGTAATACTTTAACAAAACAAGCACATGAATTTTTGAATTTAGTTAAACATTCAAGTTTTTTAAAATCAGGTTTGTGTTTGTTAAAATTGTTTTTAACTAAAATAGTTAAATGAAATATTAAAAAAAAATTAAATCGACTATGTCAGCCAGGTCAATATGAGAAACTTAAAATATTGGCTTCTGCAGCTAACTCGGTCATCTTCACCTTCATTTTCCTGTTTGTTCATAATCTGGAAAAGAAAAACAAGCTTTCCTGGTTTTTCAGGTCCCAAACGATTTCTCAATTAGGAATGAATTAGTCCAAAGGAAGAAAATATTCTTTCTACACCAGCAGAAGAAGCTATTACTGTTAAAAGTGAGATTATCACTTCAACAGTCTCTGAATCCAAGTGTTTTAGTAACTTACACCAGTTCACTGGTGTGACTTTCTTTAAAACATCATCAGCAAACATATATTTCTTGAATGGTTCACCCTTAGCTCTGAAGTTTATTATAGTTGGCATTATGGAGGGATGATTGCTGGATCTCCATGTCATAGCCAACTTCTCTTCTTCAGCAGCTAAGGTTTGACTCTGGTACCGAGTATTGAGAATATTAGCAAGAAAATGAGCTGGAGATAGTGCTTGTCCCATTCGTTTTTTTAATGCTTGTAATTTAACTCTGTCATTGCATATTTCTCTTTTTAAGATCTCACTCACCTCCTTCCAAATTTCATCAGTTTCAGCAATAAAACAGCTGTTTCCCTGCATTTTTTTCAAGGCTACAGAAATAGGCTTCAGAGTACTCAGCACGTGTTCAACATTTCTCTTAAGCCCAATGTTGAGAACTTTGGCTGTGACAGTGCCATCTATTTTTTCACGATTTTGTTCACAAACTGTAATCAGATTAGGCCAGTTCTTGATATAGTGCTCAAAACAGTCCACTACTGAATTCCATGGCGTGTCTTGTGGGAGAGTTAGCTTGGTTCCTCCCACTTTTTTCAGAGCAGCTGCTGCAAAGTGGTTGTTACAGAAGTATTTTGCAATTTTAACAACATTAGCCTTTATTTCTGGAACACTGAAGTCTTTGGTAGGAGGTGCATCAAATGAGCACTGTATGTTATTAGCTTGGGACTCTCTTCTAAATTTCTTCTCATCTTGGATACTTGATGGAGTCTGCTTACCTGCACTAGCAGAAACAGGGTTAAGCCCATATTATTGACAGTGGAAGTCCCGCCTCCCTGGCGAGACTGGGCAAGCTCCAAATGCTCAAGCAGTATAAAGGGAGAGAACCCAGCTCATTCTGGGCTGGAGGCTGCAGGGGAAGGACTTGTCTGGGAAGTGTCTGCAGCGGGCCAGCCACAGCCCCTGACTGTGCTGGGAATCAGAGCCGCCCTGGGCCCGGCTGCAGCCTGGCGACTGGAGGAGCCATTCAGGAGACTGGCCCTGCCGACCATAGAGAACCCGACATCTCATGGGAGACCCCAACGCAGACTCTGGTAGGAAGTGACCATGGGAGGGTGGTGAAGTGGTACCTCCCATCTGGGAAACCTCAGCGTGTTGTGGTAGGACCCCCCTGCTGAGTCAGTGGCAAGCTGTGATGCTGCTGTTAGGGCCCTGGGTCGGGGCCCAGTGGAGTTGGATGGGCGTGGGTCCCCCCTATGGGGTCACCACACCCCTTAGTAGGTGCCCCAACTTTATAGATTCTGGCCAGTAGGCCCCACTGGCCTGC